TCAATCTGCCGAAGCTGGAGACACATGGTCTACCAATAGATCTCTCAGGCGGCCTGCGGACAGCACCACCTTTCGGAGGTTTCGGGTCTGAGTTCGGAGGCGGTTTCGGCCCAGATCAGGGGGACACTATCAATCCTCACGCGCTGCACATGACCGACTTGCACGGACTTGGTCTGGATCCTATGGGTTCGCCATTCCAACAAATGTTCCCAGGCATGACAGCGTCTCAAGCTATGGCCGAGGATGAGTCGGGCTTTGACTGGATGACCCAAGGGTTCGAGAATCAAATGTCATTCGCCCAGGCGCACGAGAATGCCATTGATGATTCTTCGCCCTCTGCCATGAGCACCAACAGTCCCGCTCCTGCAAACGATGTGCACAACGAGGCAAACATGGTACTCATGCAACAGTCATCGGCAACTGCGGGTAACATGTGGTCCAATGCGCTTGAATCTCAGGTCCCCGTGCTAAACAGTCCAATGAGCGTGGATATGATGTCTGCCTTCAATGAAGTGGTCAACGTCCCGATGGAAACAATTTCACCTAAATCTCTCTTGGGTCGAGGATCATCCATGGATATGAGCCTGCCCACGCCGCCGGATTTCGTGTCCATGGACGCTTCTGCCATGCAAGCAAATCCCCGGTATACTGGTTTCCAACTATCTTTCACGGCCGAGGCACCGGCGTCTACTACGTCAACGGCATCAATGGATAGCAGCCTGCGGCAGGGCTCAGCGACAAGTGCGTCCTCGGAGTTAGTGAGTGATCGCATTCGGAATGTCTTGATTGCTGGTCTCTCTCAAAATGCTGGGTTTGGACAACGCAAGTATTCTCAACCTGCAATCAGCTCACCACTGTCTCCGAGCTCTAACGTGCGTCCGAGAGGCTTCAACCCTAGCACTTTTCCCAGCACGCATGAGCTGCAGCGTTATGTCTCTGCCTATATTCGGTATTTCCACCCTCATTTACCCTTCCTGCATATTCCCACTCTCAACTTCGAAGCCCCGGAGTTCACAACACCCATCAGACTCGTGTCGGGGAATTCTCAACTTAGCTACACCACTGTTGCCGGAGGGGCCAGTTGCTTGATTCTGTCAATTGCCGCCATTGGAGCTTTGTATGAAGCCGAGGTATCTCAGTCGAGAGAACTCTTCGAGTGCGCCAAACGACTGATCAGCAATTACCTTGAAGAGAGGCGCAAAGCCAATATGACGAAGACACAATTTGCACCGCGGCATGCTACCGAGAGAGAAGATACACCACTGTGGCTGGTACAAGCCATGCTATTGAACGTAATTTACGGCCATAACTGTGGTGATAAAACGGCCGCTGAGCTCGCCAGTAACCACTGTGCGGCTTTGGTAAGCCTTGCTCGCGGTGCTGAGCTTGCGCGACCGTCCCAGGGCCACACTGGAACAGGGCCAAACGACGTCAACGGGCATGTCCATATGAATGGAATGGCGGCCAATGGCTGGAACTCGGTGATGGATGAGGTCGACAACTCCGATTGGATCGAATGGAAGCTTGTGGAAGAACGCAAACGAACGCTGTACGCGGTCTTCATCCTTTCCAGCATGCTTGTGACGGCCTACAACCACCCTCCTGCACTCACCAATTCGGAGATCAGGTTGAATCTACCGTGCGATGAAGAGCTTTGGGCCGCCGAATCAGCACACCTGTGGCGGAACTTGGGGGGTACGTCCGGACCAGAGGCAAATGCCGTTACCTTCGCCGCTTCGTTGACGCATCTCCTGACGTCTGCGCACCGACAACGACGACGGAACAGCAACGTGACTGCTCTCGGTATTACGGGCGAACCGGACCTCCGACCCAGTACCTTTGGCTGCTTGATCTTGGTCAACGCCCTGCATAACTACATCTGGGAAACCCGGCAACGGCATCTTGGGCGGGAGTGGACTACAAGTGAGACGGAACAGATGCATGCTCACATTGAACCAGCACTTCGGGCTTGGCAAGCTGCTTGGGCGAGCAACCCCAGCCACAGTCTTGAGCGGCCCAACCCCTTTGGCGCTGGACCCCTGTCTGCTGACTGCATCCCATTGCTCGACCTCGCGTATGTCCGACTCTTTGTCAATTTTGGTCGATCCAAGGAGGCTTTTTGGCAACGCGACTATGATGCTATGGCAGAGGAGTTGGCCAAAGGTTCAGCTGTATCGTCAGGCCGGGAGACTGCAAACACGAATCTGGGCAAGAACTTCTCATCTAACAACAAACATGACCAGTGGAACCAGCAGCAGATGCCATCTCCGGCTGAGGAGATAATGAAAATCGAACCACGCGAGACTAAGCCGGAAGGGCGCCACTCTCAGTCATCCCAACGCGAACGACATCTTCGGAAGGCAGCCTTCTACGCGGCAGACTCCCTGTCTGTGTCCGAAAAGCTGGGATTGAGCTTCGCAGAGCGTCCCTCTCGAGAGCTGCCGACGCAGTCAGCCATGTGTGCGTTTGACTGCGCACAGGTGGTCGCGGAGTGGATCGCAGCCGTGCAAGAGCGCGTTGGCAAGTATCTGGGAGTGATCGGTCGCGATAATATGAACCTGGTGGACGTCCCCGGTATTCTGTTGCTTGAGGACGAGGATCGAAAATTGATCCAAAGGATTGACGAAGTATTGAACAGCGCGGAACAGAAGCTTGAATCTCAAGGTGGCTTTGATCTGGCTGCAGCGCGCAAGGGTGGCCATGGCAGTAGGATCCTCACTCTAACCGCATACATTCTCGAGCGAGATTCTGTATGGCCTGGTAAGTGATATGCGACCACGGATCTATTTCGCACTAACGTCTCTTCCAGTGTACAAACTCATGGCTCGTTCTCTGCGGACACAAGCAGGACATATCCAAGAGCGAGCCTTGGCCTCAGTCGCGGGGCCCTAGATGTTGTATGCCCGACCGAGAGCGCCCACCTCGCGCATTCCTCTCACCCATATCTTCTCTTCTCCCGAGCTGCATGGAGCAGCGCGGACTCGTTTGGTCTTATGCAAGTCTTAATCACCGAGACGTCAGTCTATATGAGTGTCAGAACATACGATCACAATATACCCCAGATACGAACACTGTTACGCGAAAAGCTGAAGGCATGACATCTTTCTGGGACAGGATTTATCAAAAGTGAATTTTGGTCGATGAGGAGTACATATGGGAACATTTCTGCCGCGGAAATCTGAACAGCGGATCTTTACGTCTGGGAGGCTCATATCTGGGCGAGTTATGCGGTTGCTATGTGTACTAGTACGATGAAGAGAGACATGGATGATGATCAGAGTGAGAGGATGATGCCGGGCGGTTTGAGCCGCACGATCAAAGTCCATGAATTAGGTTGGATGAGAAGGTGTATCTGGCGGCTGAGCATGGCTGAAGGAGGCTCCCTGCAAATGCATCCGGGTTCTGAACCGGTCATGGCGGCTTTGATGGAAACAATGCTCCACTGTCTCCGATAATCAAACATGGCTCTCGTGCTGCTCTCGTGCTGCTCTCGCTGGTTTCCAGGTGTACACAAAAGAGAGTCTGGGAGGCGAGATATAGCAGGACAACTTTTCATCGCCTGGCCTCAGCTGAGATCGTCATTTTGTCCACTCCTGGTTGATATTCGTCCTGTGTCCGAGAACCATCAAAGAGAGGTGACCATGATTATGTCTTCGATTGGTCAGGACTCACGACTCCCTTCCGCCCACCGGAACGGTCGGTCGACGAGGACTCTGCTCATGACGGAGCCAAGACGGTCCGTCCGTCTTGATCTGAATCCATGCGGCAGGTCTGCCAACCGCGATGAAGCGTGCACCTCGCCTCCGCTTGCCCATGGCCGAATGTCTTTCCTCCTTCGATAACCGTTTCGATAACAGTGGGTCTACAGTCTCTGCGACAGGGCTTGGTGATGGAGACGAGCGAAGACTCGAAGAGTAGACAAGCTGCACCGAGCACAGGCTTACGGTTATGCTTGAATTACATTCGGCGAAGATACGGAGTATTGTCATCAGGGCCAGGGTACACCCGCTATGCACCCCGTACTCACTGCCCTACGAGGAGAAAGCAAGAGAGTGAGTAAGAGTGAGCTAAGCTTAGCAACGAGCGAAGCGGGTGTCTGCTATGGTGGCGTATCCTGCGTGGGCGATGGTGGGCATGGAGGTGGTAGGGCAAGGGCACGGGCAACGGCATCGATGGGCATGCCCAGGCGTGGCCCCGGGCGTTGGTTGGCACGTTGGGCCAAGTCCCCGCAACCCGTGGGTTATTGGCCATTGGCCGCGCAGAAGGAATGCATGCCAGCCGAAGATCCGTTTCGAGGGATTCCCAAGCAAAATCAATCCCCACGCACAAGGCGCCGAGCCTTGTCAAGAGCTTCACCACTGGTACGTGTCGGCACCAAGACCCCCATGGCACCCTTGGCACATGGCAGTGTGCTTCAGATGAAGGGAAATGAGCGGTGCTTCTGCTGACCGACTGTGCTTTATTAACTGACTTGTTGCTCGAGGAATTGCCACAGTTCATTCACCTCCACCTGCCTCACACATTTGTCCAGACTGGAGAGGCTTTTGTCACTGCCTGGCGCAGCAGCGACCCCCGCCGTCATTCGAGATCTCCCAGCCGGAGTACATTTCGCAATCTTTTGATCATTTTCCCGCCCAGCTCCGCTACCGCTGTCGATCCTCAGACTCGTCAACCCGTTGCCTACCCTTCCCACGAGTCTGTAGCGAGGGCCAGGACCTTCTACACCGTACATACACCGCACCCCGAGTACCGCCTCTTGAACCAGTGTCCATCAGACTTCTCTGAATGCATCGAGTTCAGCACCACGAGCTGCATCAAAGAGAAGGAAACGACTGGGGATAATACGGCGTACGAGCAACAGATAACCGCGGATTGGGAAAGGATCTTGGAGGAGTCTGTCACCCGCCCTCTCGTGGCCACAGCGTACAATCTCAACTCACTTGTGACACACGGGTTCGGCAGCGCTGTGCGACGCCTAGGTGTCACAGAGTTTGCCCAAGATGGCGTGGGAGCAGCTCTCGATAAACAAGCCGCATCTGGTGTATATCATTCTCGGCGGGTTCACCAGCATATTCATGCTATGTTCGCTCTTCATCAAGGAGAAACTGTACATCGGTGAAGCGACCGTCGCGACCATATGCGGCGTCATATTTGGCCCGCATGCCGCCGACCTGATCAACCCTCTGACCTGGGGCAACACCGACCAGGTCACCCTGGAATTCTCCCGCATTGTCCTCGTCGTCCAGTGCTTTGCCGTGGGTGTTGAATTGCCAAAATCATACATGGAGAGGCACTGGAAGTCGGTCACGTTCCTTCTTGTCCCGGTCATGACCTTTGGCTGGCTGGTCACCAGTTTGTTCATCTGGTGGATGATCGTCCCCTTGACGTGGCTGGAGTCACTGGTCATCGCAGCTTGCGTTACCGCCACCGATCCTGTACTGGCTTCTTCCGTCGTCGGTAAGGGCAAGTTCGCCAAACGAGTACCGAAACATCTTCGAGACGTTCTGTCTGCGGAGTCAGGTTGCAACGACGGCATGGCGTTTCCGTTCATTTACTTGTCTCTGTACCTCGTGCGCTATCACTTGAAAGGCGGTCCGGTCGTCTTCCATTGGGTGTGTTTTACGATTTTGTACGAGTGCGTCTTTGGCGCCTTCTACGGTGTTATGGTTGGGTACATCGGTCGTCATATGATCAAACTCGCCGAGCGCAAAGGCCTTATCGACCGAGAGAGCTTTTTGGTCTTCTACTTCGTCCTGGCTCTCTTTTGCGCCGGCTCCGGCAGTTTGTTGGGCATGGATGACCTCCTCATTGGATTTGCTGCCGGCGTGGGTTTCTCCAACGACGGTTGGTTTACCGAGAAAACAGAGGAGTCGCATGTCTCGAATGTCATTGACTTGCTTCTCAACCTGGCCTATTTTGTCTACTTCGGGACCATTATTCCGTGGGACCAGTTCAACTTCCACGAATTTGGCTTGGTTCCCTGGAGGCTGGTTGTCATCTCGATCTTCGTCGTCTTTTTCCGCCGAATACCTGCAATGCTGGCACTGAAGCCACTCATTCCGGATGTCAAAACCTGGCGAGAAGCCCTATTCGCTGGTCACTTTGGCCCGATTGGGGTCGGCGCTATCTTTGCTGCAATACTTGCCCGTGCAGAGTTGGAGACCGACTCAACCACACCTCTGGCCGTTCTCCCAAGTGAAGCGCAAAACGAGGAGTATCTCCTGATCTACCTCATCTGGCCGGTTGTCACGTTTCTGGTTATAACCTCGATCTTGGTGCATGGTTCCTCGATCGCCGTGTTCACTCTCGGCAAACGGATCAACACCTTGACCATCACCCTGTCCTACACACAAGATAACGAAAAAGGGCCGGCGTGGATGAATCGACTTCCTCGCATTACCTCTCAGTCAAGATCCATGTCACGCATGGACAGCTCGGACCTGGAAGTGGACGAGAAATTGGATGTTCCACCAGGAGAACTTCCTCCCATTGGAATACCCAAGCTTCATCTCAGACGTCAACGCGAGGACGAGTACGAGAAGAAGCCGGTCTCTAGGTCCTCGAGTCTCGGACGACCACGAAGAAGGAGGCGTAGGGACAGAGATTCAGGCGAACGTCTGGGAGGCCCTATCAGCCAAAGCGCCATTGCGCCGGCGAGAAGCAGTGAACCTGGTCTGCTGCAACAAGAGTCCGGCTCGGATACTCTCTTTGAGAAGTCGGGCGAACCTTCACCGGAGAGTCCCCAAGAGCGCCTCGTGACAGGTTCGCCCACGTCATCTCCGGAACGAGATCAACTTGAAGCGGAGCACGAGGCCGAAGCCCGAAAGGAGGGGAGCGGCCGCGAACACTCTCCGGTGCCCAAGGATAGACCCGCAGACATCGAGGTGTACGAGGAGGGTGATAACATCATTGTCGAGGATGAAGAAGGAAATGTGGTAGATACAATCGACACAAAGAATATGTCGGCAGAAGAAAAGGTGGCGGCCGTTGAAAAGGCTCGGAATCGCTTAACCAAAGACGAGTCTGGGCGATTTGCTAAACACAAACACGAGACGCATTCCAGAACTGAGGGTGAAGAGATCGAGGAGCATGTTGCACAAGCGGCAATTCCCAAATCCATGCGCCACAGATTCGACCAGTGGAAAGGATTTGGCAGGCGCAAAGAAGGAGAAGCCGAGCCTTCAGAGGAAAAGAAGACAGAAAGAAAGCGTGGTCCGGCTCATGCCTACCAGTTTGGCAATACCGTTATAGTCGAGGACGAAGACGGAGAGGTCATCAAGACGTACACCATTCCTAGTGAGGCTGGTGGCAGCGACAGGCGCAGAGACCAGCAGATGCGCGCAGGTCTGCGGCGCATGAGTACTTGGGTTGGTCTTGGTCGCCAGGGTGCTGGACCAAGCGCTGCCGCCCCTGAAGTGGCAGCGGTTCAGGGCGAAGATGTCGAAGAGAAGCCTGAAGCAAAGACTGACAAGAAGAGGCGGATAAGCGATGCATCCTCCGATGATGGCTTGAGAATGACCATCTCGAGCCGTGACCAGTACGGCTTGACCGGGTTGCAGAAGAAGACTCGCGATGTGCCTGGTACAATAGCGCTTGGCTCAGGACGACGCCTGTCGACGAGAGACTTCATCAAACAAATGCAGCAACTCGATCCGAAGAGCAAGATTCGGGAAGTCGAGCAGAGTGATGCTGGGGAAGATATTAAGCGAGAAGTGCGAAAGGCAGCGAAAGAAGAAGGCCTCGACGAGACGATGACTCCTGCTGAGAAGCCTGGACGCGGCCGGGCTGGAACAAGCACTGCTGCTGCAACGCAAGAAACGCCTGGAAATGGAAGCAGGGCTGCGCCTCCGCGGGAAGCTGAAGACTATTTCAGTTCGCAAGGAAGACCAAAGGTGGGTTCGACGAGTAATGCGCACGCTACACTGCAAGAGGAAAGCGAAGAGGAGGAGGAGTCGGGTATTCCCACCCACGACGTCCGGTCTACAGTCGCTCGACACAGCCTGGGTCAGACCGCTGCTGATGCTAGGAGACGACAGCTGGCGAGGATCCGGTCAGAGGATGAAGAGGATGACGGTGAGGAAGGAGAGACAGCGGCGGAGAAGAGACGTCGGCTGGCTGCATTGGGTCTCGGGGCTGAAGACACGAGCAGCGAGAGCGAGGGAGACGAAGATGAACCCCGCCGTGCCGAGGCGGCGGTTCAAGAACCTGACCATGAGCCAGAATCTTCGCCGTCTGCACAACCCAAAGCTCGGATTCAGTGGGGTGGCGAGAGTGGCAGAGAGCGAGAGAAGAAGACAGAGTCGCAGCCGGAGCCGCGGAGCGAGCCCGTCGACATCTACGCAGGCGATCCGGTAGTGGGCGCTGCACGGAGGCTGAGGAGGATGATGAAGAAGAAGAGACAGCAATAATTGCTGATGATGGGGCGACTTGTTGAAGGTGCTGAAAGGACTGGGCCAAATGCTGCTTGGCTTGTCGATGAAGATAGTGCTGCTGCATATACTTGCACTTCTGCCTTGTGCATATAGTATTGATGGCGATTTGTGTTGGTTGTTTAGCTGGTTGGTGGCATCCACTTCAGCATACAGTGGAACAGTATCTTGCTCATTCTAGTACTCATCTTTGCGCAGATACTGTGTATGCAAGCACTATTGCCACGGCCCAATGATGATATCTGAACATGATCTGTTTACTGAGGCTGCCATAGGCCTTGCGCCTTGATCGCGGCTCAGTTTGTACGCCTACTGGGCGTGTGGTTATCTCTTCTCGAATGCGTAGGAATAGAGCATACGTAGCAAGGCCTGGGAGTCATCGATTGACATGTGAGTCAGGTACACACGACAAAGAGTGACAATAAAGCTGGAGCACTGTTCCAGTCATCCTCAACCCCACCATGAAAAGTGTTGTTCATATTTTATTGACTCCAAATTTGAGCTACAATTCAGCCGCAGAATTGACTTCTCAGGTTGTGTAGTGTAGCGGTTAGCACACGGGATTCTGATCCTCTGAACCTTCCCGTGACCCCGGTTCGAATCCGGGCACGACCTTTTTGGCATCATCAACGACACGTTGGGTTCGAATTTTTGCTTTGCAAAGCTCCAGAAAAGAGGGTGCTGAGTACTTAGGGCTCTGTGCGGGGATCCGCCACGTAGCCTGGTGATTTTCCGGTAATAACAAGGCCGGCCATCGACCAATCACACGGTGAGCGACCTCAGCCTTGCCAGAAATTTCAAGCATCAAATTGAAATACACGCTCACTACCATGTCCAAATGCTGATTCAGCCATCTATATTCCAGCAACTGCGTCGCAGCTTTGTCTGAGCGCTACGGAACATGCCATGTCGGCGAGACAGCAGGAAGAGAGATCTAGGAAGCGAAGGAAGGTCGAGGGCTCTGCACCTTCTGACTCGGTTTCTTTTACCAGTTCACGCCAGCTGCAGCAACTGCTTCATTTTTCGCCGCATACACCTGCTGAGGAAATACAATCAGGTAAGTGTGCTCATCCCAAGGGCTCACACAGGACTTTCCACTGACTTATCTAGCCATCGACAAATTTAGCCGTTTCCTATCCTCCATCTCGAATGACGAGACCACTCCTGCCCAGCCTGGGTCCAGTCAGTTGAAAGTTCTGAAAGACTACTGTGACGAGCAGTCATCAACGTCTCACGACCAAGTCGACTTTCCCGACCTCTTAACTGCGTGGGCAAATGCCAGTCAAGCCAACACCGAACCTATCCTGTCGGCTGTCCCTGCCGCCCTCAGTCAATTCTTCCGCACAGTTTCCAACCATGTCGAATTCCGTGACTTTGGACTGTCTCTGTGTCACAGTCTGCTCAAACGGGACCAGCTGCGGCTTTTCGACCGTGGCTTGTCCTCGCCGAGAGCAAAGGAACACCTCATAACCCCATGCTTACAGCTCCTGACTCAAATAGCCAGTTTCGATGGCGGTACCCTGGCTAGCAACGTCTTCAACCGTCGCGATTTTCTCTACCGACGACTTGATGGAATTCTCAGTCAGCTACCGTCAAACCCAACAAGATACCAAGATGCCAGTGCCCATCAAGCGGCTCTGGAGTTTGTGCTTGTTAATCTCAAGTACCTTGACCCTGCTTCGAAGTCCGAGCTCATCACTCACGGCAGGTTGATATATTCAGCGATCCGCTGCCTATCCAACGTCGACGCTGTTACTGTCGTCAGCTTCCTGGACAGCCTTCGGACCTCGATCCTCCATGACAGTAGCCTCAGTAAGCAGATGAAGGTACGATGCTTCAACTCTGGCGTCTTGTCCATGCTGGCCAAGCTGTACGACTACAAGATAGACGAGGAAACTGGACCACATCTGGACGTGCGGGATGCTCTGCAGCAGTTGTTGTTGCAAGTCTGCACATCGCCAAATGGCAGCCCGCTTGCGCAGGATGGCTGGTATCCTGTGGGTAGCAATCCGGAGGTTCTGGAACAGTCCGAGGATATGATCGATCTCGGGTTGGACTCCCCGTTCCACTTTGACGACTACACAGAAAAAGTGCCGGTTAAGAACACCATGCTGTCGACTTTTCTTCAGACACTCAAGCCTGAGAGTGACGTGCTGCAAACGAATCTAATCACCGCCATATTCGAAGCCGTGCCTGAACTGGTGGCCGACTATTTCACGAAGAAGCAGAAATTTAATGTCCCTCCTGGGGATGACCCGAAATGGCGTGGACAGTTTGCTTTCGTGTTCTCCGTCATTCAACTACCTGTCCCGAACAACTGTGGCTGGCATAATAAGCTACCTCTGGCTCCACCACCATTGTCGATTGTGGTCGAAAGCATCCTTCCCCGACCCCTTGATCGGTCCACGATTGGCAAATGCCTTCGGATGAACGACGACGTCATGACCATATCTGCGGCACGATTGCTCACTGTGGCCTTTGAGAAGCTCGAAGCTGTTCTCAACGCCTTCGGGCAAGCGTCTCCAAAGGCAGCTCTATGGCGCCAAGCATCTCAGAAACTCATCCCCCTGTTCATCGATCGGATCCCGCCTCTTCACGATATCGTCACTGCGCTGCAAAAGGTTGATCAAGATAATGAGCAGACTCGGACGACAGTACTGGAATGCATTGCGACATACCTACGAGTCCTCCCGTCTTTGGCTGCAACTTCCAAATTCGACTTCGGACCCAATTTAACGAAAGCAATCCACCTATTCGGGCGGGACGACGCTGACGTGGACAAAGATGTTCTGATGGAGCAGATTCAACATCTTTTGCGGATCACTAATATTTCACCCTCAACACGGTGGTTCCACAAAGGAGCATCGGACGACGTGTCACTAATGGTGCAGCTGCTCCGATTCGGTTCTCAACATCTTGGAACACCGGTCACCAAACAAGCTCTTCCCATCCTGAAAGCAATACTCCATAGCAAGGGAGTCATTAGCACCATGACGCAATCTTTCGAAGCGCTGATAGTGAGCCTCGGCAGCACCAAGAAGTGGGAGCCGGCTCTTGTCACGTACCAATTCCTTGACAACTGCTTGTCTAGAACGGTACAGCGGCCGGTCAAGTACCTCGATCAGCTTGAACAGGCCCAGCAATTGTTGTCCGACTCTACAGATTTGAGTCTCACGGCCTGTTGCGTGGCTGAGCAATGGCAGCACATTGTCAAGAAGGAAGACAGCAAGAGTATCAAGAACGTTGCAGGGTGGGTCGCGAAACTCTTCTCTGCTCTTGACGCTGCCGGAGAGAATTATCGAGTCATGACCTACTTCAGGGAGGACGTGATGGCACCACAGTGCAACGAGAATGAAAAGGCCAAGGCTCTGCTCGAGAAATCGTTCGAGAAGCAGAGAGCGAAGCCTACGGTATTGCCTGACCTGCAAATGCACGACCCCGAACCAAGCAGTGAAATCCCAGACGAGGACGTGACGATGTCGCGTGCAGATACAGCACCCAGTTTCGACCTCGACAATGTCTTCCCTCCACCGCCGTCCATTCCACATTCATTAACCGGCCTCGACCGCTGGTTGAAGCCCGACTTTGAATCCGAGATTCATTCCGGCCGCCTCGCCAGCTTGATCCGGTGCCTCATCTCTCCTGAATCAGAGATCCGCATCCAAGCATTCCACACGTTACAAGGCGTATTGTACGCGTTGGAAGGATCTGCCTATGAGGAGAAAACGCAACTCTATCTCGTGCTCGGCGAACTGTGCGAGACCGTCAAAGCACACAACCTATCAAAAGGTGACGGGGAATCAGCGTCTCCTCCGACCTCTATCGTTGCGGAACTGGCCATCCATTTCCTCCCAACGATAGCGGAGCCGTCGTCGCCGTTTTATCGCAAGACGAACAATTACCTCCTTCGTGCACCGTCGTGGTCCATCACGCATATCCTCACCTACTGGATCAACGAGACGTTCTTTATCGCCCCTGAGATCGACGACGCAGATATCCCCTTTCACGTCCCGCAAGGCACTATCAGTCCCGGTATCATTACCGGCACTGGCACCGGCATCGGTCCCGGTTCTGGCGCCGGAGGGACCAAAAATAACGCCCAAGCGCTAGAGGTGGAGCACCTTCTCGATCTCCTCCTCCGATCACTCCGCACGCAAGAGGACATGGATCTCTTCCGTCGCGCCCACGTCTTCACGAGACTGTTCTCGTACTACCTCGCACCCATCTGCCCCAGACACATTCGCAAGAAGATTCTCGGGCTCGTGTATCGAGCCACGTCGGTGCCAGGCGGGAGCGACACCCTCATCACCCGAACAGGAGCGAGAGAGTGGTTGGCTGCTGCCAAGCACGTGAGGCTTCACAGCGGATACGGTCCGCTGTTCGGCAGGATCGACGAGGAAGTCTACACCTTGGTCGAGGGTCTTGAGAAGGAGATCGAGCGGACATGTCACACCGTGGGAATAAAGCGGTGGGAAGAGGAGAGGAGGGGTCTCAGACCAGTATCAACGGCACCGGCGGCAGCAGCGGTGGGCGCGAGTGGTCCAAGTGGTGTGTACGGAGTAATAGCCACGACGAGGATGAGGACGGGTGATGACACAAGTGAGAGTGGAGATGCAGGTGCAGGTGCAGGTGCAGATGGAGGAGGTGACAGGGTGGTTACGCACGTCAATGGAATCGAAAGACCTGACGGAGAGGAAGCGAGCGAGCTAGACTCTGACGACTCTGATGACGACTCTGACACTGATACCAGCACTGACTCTGACAGTGGTTCTGCGTCTGAGTCCGAGTCCGAGTCCGAGTCCGATAGTGTTTCTGCGTCCGAGTCCGATTCCGACTCGACCAGCAACGCCACCACTACAAGTACTCGTTCCCTGAGGAGGCGCAAAGTGACAACCAGCTGTAGACCAGCGGCATGCTAGGATGTGGAGGTGGAGTTGGCCTTGGACATGACTTGATGTGACGTCCGGCATAAACATGGAGGTTCATGTCTTGAACCACGGCAGCTTCCCCGGGTTCATAAGAACGCATATGAGCTGCAGTACATAGGAAGTCCGATAAGAATCCAGCATACTCCTTAAAGTGCTCGGATATCAGTCATTTTCAGGCGATCCCCAGAAGGTGTGGACCTCTCCTTGAACAGGGTGTTAGTGTAGTTGTACTGTCCGTAATAGTCGAGCTGGACTGTACAGAGTACTGGGGTTAGGGGCTCCTATACAGAGGGAGAGAGAGGGAGAGAGAGGGAGAATAGTACTGGGGTTAGGGGTCTTGTATATACCTATGCCTATATATGTACATGCCGTACATTAAGTACCTACCTACCTGCCTACAGTAGTTAAAAAAAGCCGTCTCGTCTCGTCTCGTGGAACGGTATGGGATAAAATAAAATAAAATTGAATAAAGTGAGATTGAAACAAAAAGCGGTATAAGTACTTCTCCCTCTTCCTCTTCCTCTTCCTCTTCCCCTGCCTCGTCCTCTTCGTCTTCGTCTTCATCGTTTTCATTTCCAGGTATCAAGCGGGGAGGGCAGGTGGTTGGTCTCGGTCCTCTGCCTTCTCAATCCTTCTCAATGCGGGACCGCTGTATGTATAGTAGTATACCCAGTATTCCGTACGTACGTGCAATACTATGTTCAATTTTTACTGTACTGTACTTGGTACTTCCTGGCTTTCTCTCCGTCCACCGATATCGCGCCTCGATCATAAAAACACACGACGGAATATCGGAATGGCAGCCAAGGGCAAGCAAGTCTACCTCCTACGCTTGACCCCTCTCCATGCTCTATCTTTGTCTACGTCTCTTAATCTTAAGCCACTTTGGCCCGTTTGCGCGGTGTTTTTGAATGCAACATTCGAGCCGCCCTCTCGTCGGACTCACACTTCCCCTGAACGATACCACCACTTCTTGGGAACAGGTCGGCTATCGCGGTCGGTTTCCGCCAGCTTCAAAGGCTACGGAGGAATAGCAGAACTTGGTCATGAATTGATGCTTCCTGGCCGAAAAGACCCAAACCCCAGAATTCTCAAACGGGGTACAAAACCGCATGGCTCACGGTCGTCCATCGGCACTGGCCGTTGTCGGTTTAGAAGCTCATTAGATCTGTGCGGTCATTAGCGAATTTTCATTTTCGCCGGACATGCAATCGACAATCAACTCACCTCTGCCGAACAAGGCCCTCTTGCTCCAATCCATGGCCAACAACATCCGCGTGCGAAAACTCACGCTCTGCGCAAAATAGATGCTCCGCCACAAATACACAGCCATCAACCCACCCGAGAAATTCAGCCCGTTGAAGTCAAAGATGGCGGCGTTGCCAATGTAAGCCAGGGAGCCCATGTGATGATAGTCGAATGCCTTGTAAACGGCTTCGTCCAGGTCTCCAAAGTCGACTTCATTCGCGCGGAAGCCCGGGATGGCAGCGGCGATCTTGTTGAATTTGCGACCGAGATATTGGCCTTGTTGGTTCGCTCGCTGTGCTGTGGCCGGTAACGAGGTGAGTTTGCTGTCAATTTGAACGAGGAGTTCATGTAATTCGCCAAAGTCAAGGGTGCCGGACTTGTCCTTGTCGTACTCCTGAAAGAGCTTATCGAGGCGCTTCAGGTGGCCCGCGGCTTGGGGGAACCTCTTGCGGACCTTTTGAGCCACGACTCGCCAGTCTTGGAACGTGATGTGCATCTTCTCCGGGTCTTTGCCTTGTTCGAAAGCCATGCCGCGGAGGAAGGTTGTGATGTGGTCGGCCACGTTGTTCTGCACGGTCGAACAGTCGCCGATGGCGTAGACATCCCCCAGGGGCGCTCCCAACAGACGCAAATGGGAGTCGGTTTCAAGAGCGTGACGGTTGTTCTGAAAGCCGCCCAGCTTCTGAGCAATCTTGCGGCAGAGTTCGGTCTGCGCCACACCGGTCGACCATAGGCAGAAACCCATGGGCAGTTCTTTCGTCACCGGCTTGCCGTCTTCCATTTGCGTGAAGATGATCCGGTCCGGGGCGACTTCCTTGACACGAGCATTGGTCAAGACCTCGACGTGGTCGTGCTCAAACCGCTTCTCGGCATAGATTGATAGAGCTTCGTCGTAGGTGTTCAAGATGTGACCCCTCGACTGGATGACATGGACAGAAACCTCATTGCGCAGGATCCGTGGGAATGAGTACAGCAAATCTTCATTGAGCATGTCGTAGAGTTCTGCGGCGAACTCGACGCCAGTAGGGCCACCGCCACTGACGACGAACGAAAGCAGTCTCCGTCGTTCTTCGTCGGTTGTGGTCGGCAGACAGGCTAGCTCCAGGTTGCGCAGGACCTTGAGCTTGATCAGCCGCGCGTCTTCGATGGTCTTGAGGAAGTTGCAGTTCTCCAGGCCTTTGACGCCGTGCGGGTTCGTGGTCGATCCCACGCCGATGATCAATTTATCGTAGGGCAGGTAGAAGTGCCGCTTGTTGCCCTCAGCGTCGGCCTGCACCACCTCGACGAGTTTCTCGGTGAACTCGATATCGACTGCTTCGGCCTTCAAGAAGTGGCCTCTCAGGCGATTGACGATTCGGCGGATCGGCTCGACCAGGGATCGCAGTTCCAGAGTGCCGACTGTGGCAGAAGGCAGCATGGGTGTGAACAGGAAGTAGTTGTCGGGCGACACGACCGTGACGTGATAGTCGCCCGGATGAAGCTCCTTCAGCATGGCCACACTGCCCCAGCCCGTGCCGAGAATGACCAGTTTCGGCTTGTCCTTTTGCGCTCGCATGGGCTCACAGTCTTCGTCGTCGACCAGGGTCTCCGCGATGGGCAAGTTCTTAGGACCTCCTCTTCTGGGGCGCAGCGCAGCTTCCGAGACGGCGATATCCCCGGTCGCGTCGGGCATCTCGCGGTAGGTGGACGCATCGTAGATAAAGAAGGCGAGCACCAGGCTGCCGGAGAAGACGATGAAGATGCCGGTCCACGCGAAGAGGCGGTAGAAGAATCGTGCAAGGGGCCCACGGTTGGGCAGGGGCTTGGTGGAAATGTAGCGGAGGGTCCCGGCGGGCGTACGGTGGATGAGGTGCGAAGGGAGCTGCGACGACACGAGGCGAGTCGGTCGAAAAGATATCTGAGCTAGCTTCGAGGTCGACAGGGGCCTCGTGGTCTGAAGCCATTGCTGTCGAGGGGGTGACGGCCGCGATTGAGGCGAGCGCAGGTATGGGAGTCGCACATGGCGGCCACTGCGGGCCAATCGAGGAATGGACTCCATGCTCCTGGCGACGCTGATGTGGTGTTTACCTCATGCTGGGCGTGCGGCTGAGATGTCCAGAAGCTGCACCAGAGCTGTTCACCGGACGTCGACTGGGAGCAGAAGGAAAAGCAGAGGCTGGCGGGAGTCAGGGTCGAGGGTGTCGAGGGAGCTAAGGGTGTGCGGCGGGATGCGTCTGCTCGAGCGTGCTGGATGATGCTAGAGCGAGGAATGACGGCATGCACTGGGAAAAGTTGAGAGCTCTCAATCTTTAATTACGTCGCCCGTGGCAGCTGCTGTGGCTGTGGCGCCGTTCTCGCACGGGTACGGAGTACAACGGGGCTCTAGCGACGCGACCACAGCGAAGCCTTCGCCATTCACGGACATTCATCAGCTCATCCATCTCGTTCTCGTTGGGGTCGTCTCGCTGCAGCGTCGCTTATCAGACCTTCAGCTGCGGCCGGACACATCCAATCGCTTCCGAACTCCCGTCTCTCTACCTGGTAGCTTGGAACAATCCACTACATACAGTACGAGTACATTGAACAGAAAAGAATTGGACTTATTTGATTCATCGCTCTATCTGGACCTTGTATCAAGCCCTGTCACAATCACCAAACAACTTTGTGGGGTATCATAGAATGCCGAAAGTGTCCACGCCGCTCCCTCCCAGCTCCATCCTCAGAGCTGAATATCGCCATTGAGCCCCAGTAGCCGTTTTTCCCTGAGATCAAATGCTCAAAACCGGGATTCCTGCTCCAGATCTGTTCACGCCATAAAACAAGTTCAACATCATCAATCATTGTGCAATCTTAATCATCAAAATCGCCATCAGCGCCTTCGAACGAGGACACGCTTGCTGATCGTCTGGCGTAGCCGTTCTTAGGTGGTCGACCTCGAGCTCTTTTCGGTGTTCCACCGGCTGAACCAGTCATGCTCTTGCGCTTCTTGCCTCGTGGCGCCCCCGTCGTCTGGTCTTGCGCATTATCCATCATCGCATTCAGGTCTGCCTCCTCTTCAGCGATTTTCACCTCATCGTCCACAGCGACAAGTGTCACGAATTCTCGGCATCGCACAATCATTTCCTCGCTGCTGGTGAGTGATGCGAGCACTGCGTTGGTGTTCTGCCAGAATTTGTCGCCCGTGATACCGTGCACCTTGATCGGCTCTTTCCCGCCGTCCTTGGTCTGCTTGTTTTGTTGCATTGCCATCCTGACGTCTCGCGAGATCCCATATTGCCGCTTCAGGAAATTTCTCGCCTCCGATATCAACGTGATTGCGCATGCTGCCGATGTCAATCTCTTGAGCAGCACCGGGTCAACCTGCATCTCCACTGGCGCGGGCTGGACTTCGACGTGTGGCTCGACTGCACCATGGCTGTCTGTCGTTCTGACTGGTGCGGGCGGAAGATAAGTTTCGATAGCCTGGGCGGTCTCGGCGCCATTCTTGCCAAATGCCAACTCCAGCTGCAAGACCGTGTGAAGCAACTCGTCCATCTTTTTGTACTCCAGGAACGCCAGATTCTGTGCCACGAATAGGACGAATAATACGTGTTCTGGGATTCCCTGCTCAGTCACGCTCAACTTGGAGTATTCAGTGTTGATCTTCGAGATGACGTTGCTGATGAATTTCTTCACGTATTTTGAGCCGCTTGTGCTGATGATGCTGAATGCCGGTTCGAGTTTGGCTTTGAATCCGGGAACGACGCCACCTTGAGGATCCTGTA